AGCGGGATTGCTTTCGGCGAGAGGCAGCGGGAGGGGTGCTCCGATCATGAGCGGGAGAGGCTTCTTCGGTCGAGCGAGGAGGCGAGTGGCTTCTGTTCGCAGGAGAGGAGCGGGTGAGGCAAGTGATTCCAGGTTTCGGGGGAGGCCCGTCGAAGAGGAAAGGGGGCAAATTGAATTGTATAGCCGAAAATTTCAGAGTCGTTACGTGAAGCATTGGCGGGGAATTGAATTATTTCCTTTCAGGCAGCCACCTCAATTGGAAATCCAAATTCTCAATTAAAGTGAGGTTAAATGTCATATTTGAAGTTCAAAAATTTAAAATTCAAAATGTTTAACCCTTAGTCAGCCTGAGTCCAGCCCGAATCAAATCCGAGTTGAACCTAGGTTGAGCCCAAGCCCACACCCTACTAAAAAAAAGGGTGCTTCGATTTTTGTGTCGTTTGTGCGTGCACGTAACCCTAACAATATGGGTGTCCTTCCCGACTAAAATTAACGTTCCGGACGAGACGGCGCAGTCCGTTTCGTTATCCGGGGTCGTCCAGACAAGTTTGCGGACAGTCGGGCCAAAAAAGTGTCAACTTCGTGTGTGGTGTAGCGAGTGCGTTGCTGAGTCACGAAGGGTTCACCTAAGGCCGTCTGATCCTGTAGGAACTCATTTTCGGGTACATGTTGGTCCTTAGCCCTTGTAACTAGAAGTTGAGTGTTTGGGACCACTCATGCGAGTTCTTCACAAAATTCTCCACAAAAATAAGTCAAAAAGTGGCTCGAAACTCTATGGGAGGTGAGCTCCATTACTAGTCCGCTAGGATGGTCAACAAGGAACTCCTAAGGCAAGATTATGGGTTCTGAGAGTAGGAGACTAAGACCTCACTAAAAATGAGGTCAACACTCATCCACAGTCCATAGTGTGTGTGTGTGTGTGTGTGTGTGTGTGTGTTTGTGTGTGTGTCTATAATCGCACCGCGTACTCAAATCTATTCAAACTTAATTCTAATCCAAAAACTTACCATCAAAATAAATCGATCCTTAATTGTATTTAAATCATTAAAATTGAAATTAATTACATTAATAATAAAAAAAATGTGCAAAAAAAAATTAAAATAAAAACAAAATAAGCATGTCATATTGATAGTAACTATTTGTCAAACTCAACCTTTGTTGTTAAACTATATCAAACATGGAAATCCATATTATATTAAATTATTAAAATGATGATGTTATAAAAGGCTAAGAACATGCGGAACAAGCAATGCCCATTGCAAGGAAAAAAAAAAACTTATAAAGTACCTGGATAACGTCAGAAACCACTGTTGTCATGTCATACATGATTTCTTGAAAAGTTTCATCCATGAAACATACTATTGCTTTGAGGTGTTTACCAGTCATAAGAGCTTCAATCTCCTGACGTGCAGGAAAAGTCAGTCTTGGTCCAAACTTCAAAGAGCGCTTCAAAGCATTCAATGTTATTACTGCAAGGGCTTGAACCTCTTGATCCGGATCCACGTTGAGCCCATAAGCCACGTTATGCACATATTCCAATATAAATGGCCCAAAATCCTTACTTGGAGACATGGAAGATACGCATAAGTACATAAGTTCCCATGCTTTTAGTAAGCAGCTCCTACAAATTGGAATATAGTTATGGTAGCATGAATGAGGAACTAATAAATAAATCATTGTATTCTCCATACATTTTGTGTAAGTACCTGTTCGGGTTATTGCGTGTTTGTTTGAAAATCTGTGCAAAAAGTTCATCACAAAGTACAGAATGCTTCAAGGTTTTCTTAAGAAGCTTCGTAGCAAGATCAATGCTATCATCCAAGCACAACAACGTAGTATTTCTTGGAGAATCAACTCCCATGTACTTCAGAATCAACTTGAACATTTTAACTGATTGTTTCACATGATCGCCATTGATCTTGAACAAGGAAGTTGGAATAGGATCCTGAAAAGGCATATCAGTTAAAACGACATGGCAATGGAATGATGCAATTTAATATAATTTTACGTCCTTGTATGCTTTATAATAGCTGAACAACAAGGAAATGTAAACAATGCAACAGTGAGCATCATTGCCTTTTGAGGGGGTTTGCCATTTTGCCTCAATCTATATGTCCTAATAATATATAATTTTGTTCATTGATTGATCCTAGCCATTCATTCAAAGCATTCACCAATCCTTCATCTTGGTCATTCACTTAACAATTTTACGATTTATGAGGTTCATATATTGCAAGGGATTCTTCAGCCTAAGATGCTTTCCTTGAGGAGTTCCTCCAAACCTCTCACCTTTACTTCCCAATTATGCTACTTAGTTTAGATTGCATCTTATAATCTCAATGGTACACGTAATCTTTGATTTTTTGCTCATCATATTTCACTCTATCAGTTCAATAGTTTATGATAATGTGGCAGAACTGCAGTGCTGCTAAAGATTGAAATGAGTAGGAGATGGATGCTGCTGGGAATATTTGAATATATTCATAGTTTTGAGTTTCATCTACGGAGACTTGAAATCAAATGATATATTTAACATACAATCCTTGGACTTACGCATTGAAGTTTGAGAAGGGATGATGCCAAAGACAGGATCCTACTAGATGGCTCCGTATGTAGGAAAGTTTTCTCTTCATTATTTTTTTCCCAAAGCTTTCTGCAATTATTTAGTGAATAGGACCCCACTTTTTGATAAATAGTGCATTTAGTTGGCCAAAATAATCTATTTCATAGGATTGTTGGCGGTTACATTGTAAATTATACTTGGAGTTAAATCCCAAAATGGTCCCCAAACTATTCTGATGTGGTCAATATAGTTCAAGAGTTTTGCAGCTCCAATTTAATCCCCAACTATTTAATATTGATCCAAAAAGGTCTCTCATATCGAATGTATGATACAAAAATGGTCCAAATTTAGCCTTCGACTTTACAAACTTGAACTCAATTTATTTTCCTCAAAAAGGGTGCATTCTGTATAACAATAGAATAACCCTAAGTACAGTATTATGTCTCCCGGGCAATAAGAAAAGAGCCCATGTCGGCTAGCAAAAGAGAAAAAAGGGCATCCTGCCCATTAACATGCTTGAAAGTAAAGTTCTATGGCAGTTAATTGAGCACAAGTATGGGCGTACAAGTATACAGAAACGGGGGACCAAATGGGATCAATTTTCAAAAGTCAGATGGCCACATGCAAATAGTTGGGAGACCAATTGAAGATTAATAGAAATAAAAATGTTAGTGGTGATACGAACAAATTGCTGTAAAGTACCGACGATACACGCAAGAATACATGCCGACCAAATAATATACGGAACTGATTCCATGAAATGCCTAAAAATGTGCTAATTTTTTTATATTATGCTCATTTTTAAATGATATTGCACTTTAAAAGAAGGTATTTTACATGTTTTTGGTTTCAAGTACAAGAGATTGAATAAGATTGAATTTTAGAGAAAAAGTAACAAATACAGAGCAAAACGAGGCCAAATGGAGCAAGGGAGCACAAAGTAAAATGGCGCCTAGGCGTCAAACCCTTGAATTTTAGAGAAAAATAAACGAATACAGAGCAAAACAAGGCCAAATGGAGCAAGAAAGCACAAAGTAAAATGGCGCCTAGGCGTCAAACCCTCGTACGTGGGAACATAGAGCCCAGCGCCATCGTGTCAGAATCTAGCGCCTAGGCGCCAAGCAGTTATATAGACTTATGGAAGATTTTAGCCTAGGCGCCAGAATCAAATTTCTTCTAAATACATTGAATTTGGACAAATTTTGAAGGGCATCTGAAGTGATTCTTGAGGATTTCAAGGTTTATTTAAAAGGGGACTGAAAAGAGGAAAAAAAGAAGAGAAATGTGCTTTTGGTGGGAGGTTGGTTTGGGGCTCTTGGTTAGTTTTGAGAGTCTTTTGGGGTGTGTGTGTGTGTGAATTGTAAAGAGATTTAAGATTTCATCAAGAGAACTTCAGAGGATTTCCTTGGAGAAAAGTTTAAAATAAGTACTTAGTATTTTTGTTTGAGTTTTATTTTCGAATTTTAATATAAATAATGTTTTGTTGTGTTAAATCCATGAAGTTTGAGTAATTTAGTTTTAATATAAATAATATTTTGTTGTGTTAAATCCATGAAGTTTGAGTAATTTTTTTTATCTTCTCCTTGCAATAAGAAATAATCATGTGTAGGATTAGAATTGTTTAAGATTTCTCTTATTTCATATTTGTAATGATTTATTAATTCGTACTTAATTTACATGTTCAATCTGACCATATGGTATGTTAAAACTTATTGTGAATCCATAATGACCCCGGAGGGTTATGTATTCCTTAACTAGTAAGAATCATATTAATCTATTAGGTTATAAAATAGTTCAAAGGTTAGTGCAAATAGATAGAGAGATAAGTTTTGATGTGTATAAATTGGTGATTCTAGAGTGATAGGCTAAAACCTTAACCAATTTGATCTAGATTTTGGAAGTTAAGGCTATGTTAGTCAAAAAATTGTGGGCATAGTGGGTAATCTAGACAGACTAGAACATACCCAACATAACCAAGGATTTAAAAGTTTAACTCTATGTTAGCCAATATTTTTATGCACTCGAAAGAAGATAAAGAATAGATATACTCATATTTGTTACAATACTATATTTAAACCTTTTAACATTTGATTTTTACATTGATTATGATCTCATTTCAAGGCGAAAGGCTTTCATATAATTTGAACTCTTCTACGTATAGTTAGTTAAGAAACATTTAACATTTTCTTCACGTTTTGAAAGTGAATTAGTAGAAATTAGTTCTTCTTTTACGCATAAACTTGCAACCTTATTTCTTAGATAATTGTCTGGTGTTTATGTAAAGTTTTACTAAATCCATAAAAAGAGTTTTCACCTTCCCTGTGTGATTGATAATGGGATTTAAAAGAATATCATATATTACTTGAACAATACGTTCACTTGCATTTCAATCCTAGTGAAGCTTTGAAATCAATAATTAGAAAATTTAATGCCTACATCACTAGGAGTAGCCGCTATAAAAAACATAAAATTATATTATCAACACGGAAAAAGCGGTCAAGTAATATATTATCATATATTACTTGAACAATACGTTCACTTGCA